ATTGTTCCTATTTTTTAAGAGAGCAAACTGGGGAATAGAAGTCCGAGTAACTTGCCCTGGTTCATACTATTATTGTGTGGCGGAGCCTGGCTTGAAGCCTGTCTGACTCTAAATCAGCTCTTTGGTACTGAAGTTTCAAAAGTATTTTGTTTTCATTAAATTGTAATGATCTCACAACAATTTTGAAGGACAGTCTTAGAGCAAGCACTTGTGTAAATGTCTTATTTGAAATTGAAAATAAGCATTAATATAAATTAACTACCTTACTGGAGACAACAAACTTTTCTCAAAACTTTATGTCTTGCTGCTAATGAGACAGTATGGTGTAAAAGTTAGGAATAAACTCTGAAATCAAACAAACATAGATTTAATCTTCGCACCAGCCATTTGTTTATGTAAATCTTATTATCATACATGTCAGATAATGTTCTAGAATTTAATTATGTACAATCCAGTGGGATGATTATAATTTTGGTTCTGTCAGCTGTTTCAGTATGTGATCCATCTTGGGCTCCGTCCTAACAGGATCTATTTGAGCCAGTCTTGTGACATGTCCCTAAGGACAATCTTATAGAAAGACTCAGTTTGCTTTCTTCCTCCTTTCTTGTTTCCTTCCAATTAAAATGAAACATTAAATTTAACTGTATTAGATATAATAAACTCAAGGATCTTATATTCTCATAGGAGCAGCACAATAAACATGATAAATAAGTAAATTATATGTTAGAAGATGGAAAGTACTTCGTGCAGGTGGATAAGATGAGGTTGGGGGAAAATACGGCGAATAAGCTGCAGTATGGTCAGCGAGGTGAGTCTCAATGAGAAGGCCAAGACTTGAAGGAGGTGAAGGCCTTAGCCAGGTGGATATGAGGAGAGAGGAGATAGTGCCCAGGCCTAACGCAGGAGCATGCAGCCCACTTAAAAGCAGAGAAGCCATCATTGATGAGGGAACCAAGAGACGGAAAGTATTTTGCTGGTGACTATGAAATGAACTAGCATACATAAAGCTCTCAGTACGGTGTTTGGCCCAGAGTCACAGAGCCCTTGCCTACATCTTTCAGCCACATCCCTACGGCTCCATGTAATAGACCATTTCTGTTGCTTATAACAAAATACCTGAAACTGGGTAATTTACGAGAAAATGGAATTTATTGCTTTGCTGAGTTGCTGAGGCTGGGAAGTCCAAAGTCTAGGGAACACATCTGGTGAGGGTCTTCTTTGGTGGTGTCTTACAGCAATGCAGGTGTCTCACGTGGCAGAAAATGGTGGAGCATAGAGAGAGGTAGTTCCTCTTGCCCACACCTTTTAAAACCCTCAGAACTACCCACTTGACCATCATTATTAATCTGTTCACTATGATATGGTCCTACAATCTAATCACCTCTTCAAGGTCCCATCTTTCAATTACTGTAATGGGATTTCCCACCCTCAACAGCTACCGTGGAGATTTAAGTTTCCGTGAGGTTGGGGGGAGGGGGATATCCAATCTACAGCACTCCCCCCTTGCAAACCCTTGCTACATTTATAATAGAAAGCTCTTTTAAGATTCCTAAATATCCACACTGTTTTAAACCTCTCTACTTTTGCACACACCTAAAATGTCCTTCTTGTGTCCCTTTTTATTTTGATAAGCTTCTTCAAGATCCACCTTGGGCCCTCCTCTGGGAGGCTGCCTTTGACTCCCTCTGAGGCAAGTGATGCTTACCTCTCTGGACCACCACGCACAGTTCTTTGTGTATGTGTTTGTTATAATAGTGCACAGCTGATGGTAACTAACATTGAACCAGCACTTACTATGTGCCTGCCATGCACAAAGTCTTCTACATGTTTTCCATTTACTCCTCACAGCAGCCCTTATAGGCTATTATCATCCCCATTTTACAGATGAGTAAATAAAGGCATGCAGAAATTTAGGAACTTGTGTAAGATCATCCAGCTATTAAATGGTGGTCCCAGGAGGTGAATACAAGGTTTCTGGCTCCAGAGCCCAGATGCTTTCATAATCATTATATCATACTGTATACAAAGTGTGTACATATCATACTGTATTGCAAGTAGTAGTTTGTGTGCATGTGTCTTCCTTACTATTTGTGAATTCTTTGAGGGCAGGGAACAATGTGACATTCACTTTTACTCTTTGGGGCTTTGCACATGTGCTCACTTGATTTAACTGTGATGAGAATAAAATATTCTCTTGTGTAAACTATAAGACATGGGAAATATCACTTAAAATGTTAATGATATTGTTATTGATTCTGAATTTAATTTGGTTTTGAATTTCATTTTAGTCATCTCATTGTGCTTCTGCTTCTCCCCAGACCAGTATTAAAGAGGGACAGCTATTGAAGCAAACCAGTTCTTTCCAAAGGTGGAAAAAGCGATACTTCAAACTTCGAGGTCGTACACTTTATTATGCAAAGAACTCAAAGGTAATTCAAGAGAATACTAGTTCCTAGCACTTGAGGTTGTGGATGGATTTAAAATTTTGGTTGTATAAGTTGCTTTTGTCTTAAAGGCTCATTATTCTTACATGAATTCTGCATAAATGTGATCCATCTTGGACCCTATCCCATTGGGATCTATTTGAGTCAGTCCCATAACATCTCTTTCTTTCTTTCTCTTTCTCTCTCTCTTTCCCCCTCCCTCCCTCCCTCCCTCCCTCTCCCTCTCTTTCTTTCTTCTTTCCTCCCAATTAAAATAAAACATTAAATATAACTTTACTAGATATAATAAACTAAAAATTTTGGGCTTCCCCCCATTTCTGCTACTTTTTTTTTTTTGGCAGCTGGCTAGTATGGGGATCTGAACCCATGATCTTGGTGTTATAAGGCTGCACTTCAACCAACTGAGCTAATCAACCAGCCCACTGCTACTTTTTACCTTACACATCTTTCCCTGACCACGAGAGAGAGTTGCCATAGTTGCAAGAATTCATGCTCTGGGTTCAGACAAGAGTTCACATCCCAATTCCAGCTCATGCCAGTGGAGTGGCCATGGGTAGCATGTGTTGTTGAGAGGAGGCTTAAAGGAGACGATGCATGTCAAGTGCTTACACAGTACCTGACACAAAATAATCACTTCAGTGTGGTAGCAATTGAGAATAAAAGTCATACTGAAATAAAATCAAGACAAAGTAATTTTATATAACAGTGAATCAAATAATAATAATGCATTTAGGGGGGAAAAATGTGTAACTATGAGCCTCCATTAAAACTGACATCTTAGGGGGCCAGCCCGGTGGCGCACTGCTACAGTGCGCCGCTTGGGAGCGCAGCGGCGCTCCCGCTGAGGGTTCGGATCCCACATACAGACCGGTTCCCGCTCACTGGCTGAGCAAGGTGTGGGAGCAACACCGAGGGTTGCGATTCCGTTGCCGGTCCCGGTCCGGTACGGGCGCGACACTGAGGGTTGCGATCCGTTGCTGGACACAAAAAAAGACAAAAAGGAAAAAAAAAAAAAAACTAACATCTTAGTATTACTTTGAAAAAAAAAATGAAGATTTCTTGCTACTGTCCCAGTTGAATAATTAATCATTTTCATTTTTAAAAATGTATGTTCCTGATATAATTAGTAGAGTTATACACTAGGAGGTAAAAACAAATAAACAAACCTAATTCTTAGTCTAAGCAGCTATAAAAGTAATAACCAAATAAAACAATGTTATTTTAAAAGTCATTATGTTCAAGGTTGTCTCTTATCGGTCTCCATCCTGGCTTTTCACATTCATCTCTAGACAGCATTAAGTACTTGACAGCCTTCAGGTTTGGCCCGTGCTTCCCATCTCCAGAATGACAAAATTCCCTGTTTTCTTTAAGGTCTCGCTCAAAGGTCCCCCTCAAATAGTCCTTATTCCGTCCTTCACAAGAGAAGGAGTTTAATTGTTCTCTGCTGAGCACGTCATCTGTGACTTTCCATAGCTCTGTGACTTTGTTGTAGCTTTCTCTTTCCATTTTTTAAAATCATATTTCTTTTTTTAATTAATTTATTTTTGATTATACATATTTATGAGGTACAGAGTTGACTTATCAGTATTTGCGTACAGTATGTGACCAAATCAATATTATTAGTATGTTCATCATTATAGATCATAATTCTCTCCCACTTTTAATAGTTTATCTTACACTAAAGTTAGTTGTCCATTTCATCTCCTGTGCTAGATTATAAATTCCTTCCAGTCAGGGAACATGTCAGATTGGTTGAATTGAGAAAGATTATCACAACCCTCTGGATATGTTGGGGGCGAAGTGTGGAAGCTGTCAGAAAAGTGAAGTTTTAGAGGTGCATTGCTGTGCCTGCCTGGCTGGAAGGACAAACACTGAATGAGTGTGGATAATGACTCCCTGAGTAAAAGTGGGAAGGATGCCTTTATTTACTAGAATCTCCTAATTGCTAACTTGTACGTTTTTTTAAATTCTGTTTCTTTGGCATTTTTACCACTGAAACTTTTTTAGTTAAAAGAACTCTTAAGAGTATGGAAGAAATGTCATTTGCAGAGCACATTCACTATCTCATTTGAACACATATGTATAGATGAGGAAAATAACTCAGAAGGTTCAGAAACTCACCATGATCTGAGCCAGGACAAGTTCTCAGTTCGCAGCAAACCTGGAAACAATAACACTGCCTCTGCCCCTCTGTCAGAGTTGTCGCAAGCTTTAGAGACACTGAGTTGTGTGTGTGTGCCACACACTCAGTAGATTCCCCATAAATGGTTACCCTTATGCTTCCAGAGAGCACAGAGCATTTGCACTGACACAGTGTGCTGAGGGTTCTTTAAAGTCCTTCTCAATTTGGGATTTATGGATTAGTTGTGCTTTATGGTTTTGCTCACTGTTCCTAGGAAGAAATTGCCAAGTACCACTAACTTAATTTTTCTTCATTTTCTATTCCTAACTCCTGATATAGCTTTGTAGTCATCACTTGAGAATAAAAACATATTGAGGAGCATTGAATTAAGTTTTCTTTTAATGTGTTTGTGTTCTTTTTCATTAACAGTCTCTGATATTTGATGAAGTTGACCTTTCAGATGCCAGTGTAGCCGAAGCCAGCACAAAAAATGCGAACAACAGCTTCACGGTATGGTTATACTCTGCTAATCCCCTATTCAGAAATTATAAAATGACCTTTCTTAAGCAAGTACAGAATGCCCTGTGCAGTTACTAACTGTGTGTCAACTTATGCATATTAGAGTCCTTACCAACACAAGGATCTCTGGTAAATATTGCATATTCCAACACCTAGTACCAGTCATGATTGTTTGGCTCAGTAAACCTGGGGTTAAATGTATTTTTTTTAATTATGTTATTTCCTTTTAAGACTTTAATTTTAGTGCTTTAAATTTTTTATCTCCTTTAAATTAATTCTTATTAATTCCATTGTTCTTGGATATTCAAAAAGTTTACTTACCTTCAATTGTAAAAATAATATTTTCTCCTCCTACTTTTACCCTAGTTGCTATTGTTGAGGCTGTTGCTGTAGTTCAGTCCTTCATTTCTTCTCACTGAGGTAATTCATTTGGTAGCTATTTAAGAGGTATCCTCTGTTCCAGTTTCTTTTTTTTCAAACACAAATCAAATTGCTTAAAAGACCTCACTGGCTCCACACTGCTTGCAAATCGCATCTCCAACTCATTCTTCAAGTCTTGCAAGCTCACACCTCAGCATTCTAGTGTTTCTGGTAACTATTTGTCCTCATACGCCCCAGCAGATCAGCAGTTCTGTCTGTGCTTTCCCAGTTCCCTCTGACTTGAATGATTCCTTCCCCATCTACAGCTGTTGAAATCCCACCAATTCTTCAAAGCTTATTTCAGATATCCCATTTTTCTTCTACTTCTTTCATTCAAAAAATATGGATAGAGTTCCCTTTATGTCAGGCACTTGTGCCAAGCACAAGAAATACAAGTGCCTCAAGATATTCACAGTATAGTCCAGTGAAGTTCATGTGGGATACTTTTTATAACCATATTCCTTAGGTTCCCTAAGATGCATTGCTTTTGTTATACTGTCCCCTATCCACACTCCCAGTCCCCACTCTAGGAAGCCACCACTACTGACCATAGTGTGCTGTGTCCATCTGCTTGATATGCCAAGGCAGGGAAGACAGCCAGATAAACAAATACAAGCAGTGCCATGATGGAGGTGAGCACTGGTAGGGGGAGAGGTGGAGGGATGAAGCAAATGAATTCAGATTTAGCCTTATTGATTTATGGGCATGTGGGATAATTCCTAGTGTAAATAATCTCCCCCCCCCCCCCCGCCCGCAGGGAGAATTTAGTTTGAGAAGAGGAAAGCCAAGAATAGAATCCTGACAAAGTGTTAAAATTTAAGGTTTGATCAATAAAGACTGAGTGAGAACATTTTTAATTAAAGAAGGAGAATCAGGAGGCAATGATGTTATAAAAACCCAGTGGAGAAGAGATTCGAGGTGGAAGTTGTTGAACGTCAAGTACTGTAGAGAGGTCAAGTGAAAAGAACTGGAAAGTGATTGTTGAATCGCTTGGAGGTCATTTGGTCACATTGCTGTGAGTAGTTTCAGTGGCGGGGTGGCATGCGTTAGGCTGAACTGTGAATGCAAAGCCCAAAGGCAGATGGAGCCTAGGGTAGAAGACGACTTCTAAAAACTTGGCTGTTGAAAGGAGAAGAACAGATACCTAGAAGAATATTTAGACTAGAAGAGAGTTTTGGTTTTGTTGTTATTGTTCTTTTGCTTTGTTTTTAAAATGGGTTTTGATTGTGTTTACATGAAGAGAGGAAGGAACTGTTAGAAGCAAAAGGTAAAGATTCAGGAGAAAGGGGAACAATTGATGAGGCGTGATGGCTGAGTGAGTTGAAGGCCTGGGGACCAGAGCACAGTGACGATCAGCGATCAGCGTTAGCGAGATGGCATGCTTATGCAGGTAGGTGTGGCCATATCTTTCAAACCCAAATACTACTATTTTCTCAGTGAAATTGAAGGATAAGGTTATCTGCTGTGTGTGAGAGTTTAGGATGGTTTGGAGTAGCTTCTGTAGAAAGAGAATTGAAACTGAATGGGGGACCTGTAGAAGATTACTACTAGGCAGTAAATAGTGCCTAGCAAAGATTAGAAATCAAATTTAATAATATCCCTAATTCCTATGCCTATAGCACTTTTTAATTGATCTTATTTTTATTTTTAGTTATTTTAATTGACACATAATGATTGTATATATTTACAGGGTATAGTGTGGTGTTTCAGTACATGTATACATTGTGTAATAATCAAATCAGGATATTTAGCATATCTGATAGCATTTTCTTTACATGGGTGTAGAAAACGAATGAATTGATCCAAGGTTGATGATTTATAGGGCATTCTGGACAGAAAGATAAAGGGATTGCTGGATGTTTGAGGGATCAATAACTCATTCATCTTCCCCTTCTGAGTTCTTAGTTTTTGAGAGTAAAACACAGGAGTAGGGGACAGCTTTATTAATGGCTAGACAGAATTCAATAATCACTGAATGCAGGGGCTTCTGATAACTTTTTGGAGGCCTAAAGCTGATGTGTTGCTTATTCCTTTTTCCTTCCAGGTGAAGATGGGGTTGGATGAGTGCAAAGAACCTCACCAGTCCTACCAGTCAGACTGGCCTCTTGCCTCCTCCCAGACAGTGAACTATAGTCCTCTCCTCTTTATGGGGACTCCTGGAGGGGAGAATAAAGGTTTCCCCCTGATAAAGATCTACAGTTTGGTCTGAAAGAGGGTTCCAAAATTTAAGATTTGAAGGATGGAATAACTTCAGGTGAAGACAAGGTCTAGGGTGTTAGAGCAGATAAAGACAAAGGGAACTAAAAAGCATGGGTTTTTGTAGCTCTTTCTTGGCTCTCCAACTCCTTGTGATCTCTTTTGTTGTATTTTTCTTATTGAGTTTACTGTATTCTGCCTTACATTTAGTTTATCATATCTCCCTTGAGGACAGGACCTGTCATATCTTTTTACCTCATAGTACTTTATCCATAAGTATTTGTTGATTTTAATTAATAAGATGAAAGTTTATTTCAGGCATGATAAGACTTTTTGTTGAAATATTTTCAAGCAATTTCTTCATTCAACCCAATGTTATTTCTGGAATTTGCTAGACTAGAAATGTAGGCACTAAAAAGTTAGGCAGATTGCTTAAGGTTTTACAGCAAATGAATTTGGTAGAATTTTCCAGGGTATAAAATGGAGCAAGAGAGATGTTTTCAACCAATAATTGACAATTCTCCCTATCTTTAAATATTTAAATGTTCTGCCTTTCTAGATTATAGGGACTGCTACTGAAGCTATTTTTTGGCTTCTTAATGTCAGAGGTTAATGGTGTATTTTGATGGTATTAAGGCTGGAGAATCCAGGAATGGCCAAATTCTGCTTCATTAAAGCCATCCCTTCTCTCCATGAAGTCCCTAAGGATGATATATTGACAAGAGGAATATTAAATGGAAAATCTATAGATAGTAAATGGAAAATGGAAAACCTGTGCTTTGCCTGAAAACCCAATGCAAATTTTCTGGTAAAATGGGTTCTAGAGTGAATGTTCTAGAGAAAAGATCAGCAACTGACCTAACCTGGAAGCTACTCAGCCTCACTTCCACTGCATTCAATTGGTATGAGCGAGTCACTAAAGCTGGCCATGCTTCAAGGAAAGGATGTAGAAACCATGAAATTGCTGTCAAAGGATTTGCAGACATGTTTTAAAACCTACATACGTAATGATTACTTCTCCCTCTTGCAGAGTTTCCCACTCCCATCCCCAAGTTAATAATTATCTTGTTCTTTCAGCCATGTAAATTACCACGGATGTTATATTAGTTTTCCATTGTTGTGTAACAAACCCCCACAAACTTAGTGGCTTAAAACAATGCCCTTTTAGGGCTGGCCCGGTGGCGCACTGGAGAGTGCGCCGCTTGGGAGCACGGCGGCCCTCCCGCTGAGGGTTCGGATCCCATGTGGAGACCGGTTCCCGCTCACTGGCTGAGCGCGGTGCGGGCGCAACACCGAGGGTTGCGATCCCGTTGCTGGTCCCTGGTTCGGGCGTGATACCGAGGGTTGAGATCGCGGGTGCAACACCGAGGGTTGCGATCCCGTTGCTGGTCCCTGGTTCGGGCGTGATACCGAGGGTTGAGATCGCGGGTGCAACACCGAGGGTTGCGATCCCGTTGCTGGTCCCTGGTTCGGGCGTGATACCGAGGGTTGAGATCGCGGGTGCAACACCGAGGGTTGCGATCCCGTTGCTGGTCCCTGGTTCGGGCGTGATACCGAGGGTTGAGATCGCGGGTGCAACACCGAGGGTTGCGATCCCGTTGCTGGTCCCTGGTTCGGGCGTGATACCGAGGGTTGAGATCGCGGGTGCAACACCGAGGGTTGCGATCCCGTTGCTGGTCCCCGGTACGGGCGTGATACCGAGGGTTGAGATCCCGTTACCGGTCAATAAAAAAGACAAAAGGAAAAAAAAAAAAAAAAAAAAACAATGCCCTTTTGTCTCACCATTTCTGTAAGTTTCACAGCGTAGCTAGATTCCTCTGCTCTGGGTCTTACAATATCGAAATAAATAGAAGTGATAAATTTAGAAAAAAAATATATAGACTTTTAAATTGCCTTAAATTGCGCTAATTTTGACCACGGTTTGAGTTTATGGTTTTAAAAGTGTCTTCTTCTGCAATAGATAACAATGGCAACAAAATCTACTAACATCAAAAGCATTTTTTACAACTGTAGGTGGCAGTAATGTAACCAGGGAATGAAAAAGGACAATCCCTGACTGCCTTATTGTCATTTTATAAACCTTTAGTTTAATGTTTATCGATTTATTAGTAGTTTAAGTTCTACCATGGCGTTTTCTATGATTGTGGAATCTATAATATGTTCTTCCTTTTCTTGTTCATTTTAAAAATATTTCTTTTTATTTTATTGATATCTATATGATGTATTAGAGTTTCTTTTTTCTTTTTTGTGACTGGTAAGGGGATTGCAACCCTTGGCTTAGTGTCGCCGCACCGCGCTGAGCGCACGGGCCATCCCTATATAGGATCCAAACCTGCAGCGGGAGCGCTGCTGCACTCTCCCAAGTGAGCCATGGG